TCGAGGCTCATTTATACGGAGGAGGCTCATTTCTACAGAGGAGGCTCATTTCTACGGAGGAAGCGGATTTCTACAGAGGAGGCTAATTTCTAAGCAACAGGCTTACATTTATATGGAAAACAAGAACAATTGCAAAGAGAAAGCGAGGTTTCAATTAGAAACGTGTTTGTTTTACATTGTGCAGCAGTGGCACCTGTGGGCCACCGTAGAAAGCGCTACCTTAATCAATTTATCCTCCAGATCTGAGACGACGTTTCTTTGCTGGTTAGCTCTGAAAATTTCAAGCCAAGTCTTAACACTATCTTCTGGTTGATTAATTCTCATCATCATGATTCTTTCTAGCGGTTTTTTAGAATTGTTGGAATAAATTAAGCACTGACCACTCCCAAGAATAAAAGGGCTAAGTTTAAGTAGGAAAATGATCAATTTGGCTGGGGTATGAAAAAATTATGGAATCGCTAAATCAGTGTTCTTAGCTATAGGATTGCCGTTTATTTTCGAAACAACCAAATAGCGTTGTGTGAGGTGCTGAACCCGGCTGAAACAAACAAACTAATCGAAATAGATAGTTGACGGAAACACCAACCTGACCAGTATTTTCAACTTCCAAGGTAGCCGTCTGTTTCTCAAGAAACTGGACATCTTTGAAAATAATCTGAAGGACAAAGAGACAAACAAAAACGGTGTCGTAAAGCTATCAAAATACCTGAACGAAACTTTTTGTTGATATCTTCTGCACAATACCTCTGTGGCGCTTAATTTGACTTGGGGAAGGTTGTCGTTTTCATGTCTGTCAAGCGTTCGAATGACATCCTCCATCACTTGTCTTTCTTGCTCTACGTTAACAACTTTCACCTGTGAACAAGGAAGAGTTTGTTTCATGAAAGTGACCCACGTACCTTGCGACCACTCCCTCATAATAAGCAGTTGAACATAGCGTTTCTTCACTCGAGAGAAAGAATGAAGGGGTCTGGCACTGATTATTAGTGCCAGACCCCCCAGCAAACCTCTGTCTGACTCGTCTCAAATCTCCAGCGGGCAAAGAAACGCGCGCCTTGCATGAGGGCCTGGCCACAAGCTATGACCTACGTACAGTACTTACGCCTAAAGGTCAGTTATGCTCACTTAACGTGGCTCGTACTAGTTTCCTCGCGCGGGCAACAGAACTCTTGTGTCACGCGCGAGAGAAACGTGCGAAAGAAGCGCGAGATCAAAAGATGAAAATTCAAAACAAAGATGGCGGCGCGTGGATCTTTTGCTACTCTTGTGAGAAGTTCACCTAAGAACGTGTATTTGATGTGTTAAGCGGCCACTGTGAATGCAGGAGATAGAAACTAAGATAAAGACGACGATTTTCGGAGAAGTAAAGGTTGCTTCGGCTTCACATCTAAAAGAAATATTCAACCGATATGAAACCTTGCGATGGCGAAAAAAAAAGAACTCAAGTGAAGGATAATCTGGATATATCAACAAAGTTGAAGTGGTAAATTGAAGGATAATCTACCTGAAGTAGAAGACTTTGAAACTTAAAGGAAAATAATATGATATAGCCAGAAGTCGTGTGTAGGATTTTTAAGATAAGCCCGGGAGGCTGTCTTTGACAGCTGTTTAAAGATTTTCTTAGCAGTAAACGATTGTAAACATCAGATTGTAGGCGCTCGCGCGAGCACTAGCAATTATCAACAGTAGCTATAACAGATCATGGGCAAATGTCGATCTTATAGAATCCAGATTTTTAAATGCGCGAGAACGCGCGTGGAAATTGCTAAACTCACGAAAGCTATTCCATGAAAACAAGTCCGGTGACCCCCTTTTTTTTATTGTTCCAATATGATAATAACGTCGAAAGGAATCATCAGAAAAAAAAAAATAGAAAATTCTACGGAAGGAAATTTGCGATGTGTGAAATTGCCTTTTTTCTTAATTATCTGAAATTCCGCTCCGTATAATTTTTTAAAAATCTTTGTGCATTTTCCTTTTCAAGTGCAAAAAGCAATCAATGAAAAAAATCATAGGTTAGTTTTCGAACTATTTAAGCCACAAGCTAAAAAATGCGTCAAAATAAGCCTTTAAAAGCGTTGCCATGGAAACTGCTAGTGACGAAATGACACCTATTTTTGGATAACCAATAATTATATAATTCAACCCCGTAAAAGTGTTCAACTGGCCTTGATCAGTGTTTCTGTTGTATTCTTTCAAAGTTACAAACCATCAAAAAGATGAAAACCGGTACGAGCCACCTTAAGTATTACAGAGTCTCCGGCAGAAAACGAGCGCAAATGAAAAATGAATTACGTTACTGAAACAAGAATCCAAAGATCTTTCCAGGTTTGAAATCAATGTAGATCTCACAGTCCAACAGTTAAGTTGATTTAATTTACAACTGCCGAGATTTGGACCAAAACGTTGATGAAGGTTTCACTTTGAAATTGCATAGATTCTCCAAAGAAACCTTTCCTCGTAATGTTAATATTGTACGTATCACCACTTGCAGTATAGGCATGCTCTGAATTTTCTCATGATTTGGTATAGGGGAGAGAAAGTAAAGGATGACAAATAAACATAGTACTTCAGAGGTATTGCTGAGTGGAATCGACAACTCCCTCTAGCCGTAATGCGTTAACACAAATGCAAAGTTTCCACTCACCCCGACTTCAAACAAAGAGCTGACAGGCTTATGGTCACTTATTTTCAGTTTATTATGACTACGATATTCCAGCTGTTTAACGTTTTTTCCTCTCCATAAAATACGATCACACCAAGCAGGTGCGCGGCCTTTCTCACTGAAAACGAGAAAACTATCGTTAGAATAATGATTTGTTCCGAGTTGTCGACACTGCTTTGCTACTTGTCCTTTAACCCCCAACTCCAACATTTAATTTGTAATTCTTCCTTACAGTTGCCACCCACTTCTTCGATTAAATCCACATTTTTGCTGAATAATGTTTGGATATTGTAAAGAGAAATTATTATAATAGTCAATTCTGGAGATTGAAGGATATAAAAACCCATTTTGAGTTCATCCAACATCTCTCCCACCAAAACGAGTTGAGCTTAACAAGTACTATTATGTTTTGCACCAGTAAAACGACCAGTCACTTCGTACAGCATTACGTAAAAGATCTCTAGATTAGGAGTTAGGTGGGCGTCTCCCCTCAAAACATCACCGCATCATGAAATTTTTCTCAACTCTTATCTTTAAAGTGCAGCATCATTGTTAGGAAAAGTGAAGCTTAGTAAATTAATGAGGCACCAATAGAGGGTCTAATTGTTCCAGGGAGTCATTTCTGGACAATAACAATAATTAACCTTTAAAAAACATTCCTTGATCAATATCAGTCAGCCAATGAATTCCTCTCTCAGGAGTCTCACAGTCACCCAAAATATGAGTATTAATTACCCCTTAAACTCCCATGAGTGACCATGAAGATAGAATTTCTCCTTACAATATCAATACAATATCAAGCAGACAAGTAATGAGAATAGGGAAAAAAGAAAATTAGGGGATTATCAGTCGATCCAATACCAAATTCTCCAAACTAACATCATAAGAATTGTATAGCAGACAATACGGAGAATTACTGAATATGAGATCTTCGGCGTGAAAGGGTTACAGGCCCTTACAGGAACACAAATCTACGTCATTCAAACTACATGAGCATTATAAACACTGTGATCATGGCAAAACCCACCTTGTGTCCCAGTTGTCTGTCCCGGGATCATATTTGTACGTTGGCTTGAACTTGATGTCCCCCTCCATGAAACCACGAAAGCATTTCTTCTCAGACCTTTGCTTGTTCAGTTGGTCTTTGGCTAATAGTTCCTTGTACTTCTCTGCATCTGCTAGTTTTCTTACCACATCAGATTCCATGTCACTAACTCTATAATTTAGATCTCCTAACCAGAACACTGCACTAAGAGACGACAAAAGAAAAGGAGAAAAAAAAAAACCACTGTCAAGAAAGGGATGGGGAGGGGGTTTTTTTTGCTTTGAACACCACCATCATACCCCACCCTACCCATATGGAAGTTAAAGTTTTCTTTCCCTTTATTTTAATGGCTTGGTTTTCAATGGTTTGTAGATTTTAAAATTGAATTTAAAAAAATGAGTCCCATTTCACTTTTGTGATCTGAAATTCAAGCCTCAATGTTCTCAATCCATGATCATCCTTTCTCTTTAATAGTTGATTCCTCTTTGGTGTTTCAATTCCTCAATAAACTTTGTTTCACACATTTCCCTCACATTAAACACAATTTTCAAAAAAAATAAATAACAAGGACAGAAATTGAAGGTATCCTACATCCTCTACCTGTGGTAATCAAAGCTATCTGCTGTGCCCTCCAAAAAAAAAAATAAAGAAAGAAAATTGAGACGGACGCGACACTGACTTACTCATGTTCAGTGATACCAAATGACCCATCGGCTCCGTTAAACTCCAGCTTGGATAGAATATCTCGATAGTCCTGAAGATTAAAGGGAAACATTACTTCACATTTCAATTTATTATTTCATGAATTTTTCTATCAGTTGGTCAATATACATACATTTAATGAAGACACTTATACACTTGTACAAAAGACTAGAATAAATCGATTGTGACAAACATTTCACATGATGGCATCAAATAATTCATTACCTGGTTCCTTCTTTCAAATTCTTCTGTGTGAGCTGCTAGATGTGAATTCACAAAACAAATACTGGTGTTGTGTATCTGCAACCTTATGGCCACCCCTCCTTTGTTGCCCTGTACCAACCACACAAGAAAATTAATCAACATGGTTATCAATCACAAAAAAACAAACTTGACATAAAATATTCCAGAGGAGTGATAAAAGCAAAGATTTAACAAATGCTACAGACCCTGGCCATGGGAAAACACATATGATAAAGTAACAATTACATTTCAGATCATCTGGATGGTTGAGAAGATGGCACAAGTTTTTTAACTAATTACAGAGAATGGTTAAGCAACCGATGGCCAATCGATGAGTGTATCTGCTGGCAGACTACAAACCTGATTGCAAGTTGAAGGTAATACCAACAGCTACACAAACATAAACCAACTGGAAACCCTTATTATCAAACAGGTTCTAGTCAGCAATATTACATGAGAATTCTCTGATGTGTTTGGTGAAAAAGATCAATTGTTATGGTGGCTTAGCACACTCTTGAATTCTCTGTAGCTCAGCAGTACAGTAAAGGAACACACAATCTCAAAATCTGAGATTAGATTCCACAGGGGGATATATATATCTTTTCTTTAATCCCATGTCTTTGACAAGACAAAAAAAATTTTCAAACTGCTCTCTCACCATTAGACCCATGATACCAGTGGCCACAGTTTCAGCATTAACTTTACTGACATAAGGTAGATATTCATTTTTCACAAACACTATCAGTAAAATGCCAACCAGACGGATGGTCTTCACCTGTGAAAACAAAGTATCTGTCACTATATCTTCCATTATGTGTCTTCTTGTCCTACCAAATCTTTTTTAGTAGGATCACAAAATCCTTCATCACCTTGTGTGCAAAATAGAAAAGAAAAACATAGAAAATAGCTATGGGGTAAGTTAATTTGAATAAGGGATGGATGGTGATTTGAAAACTTATTTCAGCCTACAAATCTTTCAAGTTTGTTTGCTGTAATTTTTTTTCCATGTAACTAAGACACAAAGACACTTGTCTACAGGTATAATTATTATAGCTGTATTTGAGAGTCTTTTTAAAATGAATAAAAGTTGATACTTCATGACGGAAAACTGATATATTTGCAAGAGGGAGAGCACAAATAAAAGAAAAGCATAGCCAGAAAAGAAGTTGTACATTCACATAAACCTGCAGATCAATATTTGCTTGATAATAATTTGTTTCTCATTTAGCCCTATCACTTCCAAGATCACTTTCAGAATCGTTCTTACTGTACTGTCTGCCATACAATTCTTAAGATGTTAGTTTGAAGAATTCAGCATTATATCAACTAATAACCCCATAATTGATATTTTTCTTTATTACATCCATTTTGAAATCACTCGTGGTCCCTGTAATCTGATTGGCTCTAATTGGTGCAATTTATTCACGAATTGCACCATTTTTTGCTCTAAATCGTATCATTTTACGCTTGACTGAGTTTTTGACACATGACGTCAAAGTCTTTCTGTTTTGCATGCAAAATAAGATGTAAAAGCGTTTCCGGTTCCTCTTTTTATTTAAAGACTGGCTCAGTACTGCATCAGTAAAATATTTGAATTGACTAAGTCCTGCATTTGGGCAATTTCAAATTGGATGTAATAAAGTGGTAATTGAACCTCATGTCGTGCAATTTTGGTCTGAAATCATACTTGTGATTTCAAATCGAACTTGTGCTGTGCACTCATTCAATTTTGAAATCACATGTATGATTTCAGCCCAATCTGCTCTCCACTCAGTTCAATTACCATTATTTATTACATCCATTTTGAAATCACTGGTGGTCCCTGTAATCTGATTGGCTCTAAGTGGTGCGATTTATTCCCAAATCACACCAATTTTTTGCTCTAAATTGTATCATTTTATGCTTGACTGAGTTTTTGACACATGATGTCAAAGTCTTTCTGTTTTGCATACAAAATAAGATGTAAAAGCGTTTCCGGTTCCTCTTTTTATTTAAAAACTGGCTCAGTACTGCATCAGTAAAATATTTGAATTGACTAAGTCCTGCATTTGGGCGATTTCAAAATGGACGTAATAAAGTGGTAATTGAACCTCATGTCGTGCAATTTTGGTCTGAAATCATACTTGTGATTTCAAATTGAACTCGCGCTGCACGTTCATTTGATTTTGAAATCACGCGTATGATTTCAGCCCAAAATGCACTCCACTCAGTTCAATTGCCATTATTTATTCTCATCGCTTGTCTGCTTGATAATTGTATTNAGGGATGAAATAAAGTGGTAATTGAACCTCATGTCAAGCAATTTTGGTCTGAAATCATACTTGTGATTTCAAATTGAACTCGCGCTGCACGTTCATTTGATTTTGAAATCACGCGTATGATTTCAGCCCAAAATGCACTCCACTCAGTTCAATTGCCATTATTTATTCTCATCGCTTGTCTGCTTGATAATTGTATTCAATTTCTCCTATGGCTTATTATTTTTGAGTAAGGAGAAATTCCATCTTAGTCACTTATGGGAGTTAATAAGTTAACAGAATCTGCTCAGTGAAAAATGGCACGCTTGGCATGATTGTCACAAAATGGATCTTTTCCATAACATTATTTTCCCAGTAAAAATCAAATTGTTATTTTTTTTTTCATTCCACCCTTAAAGAAGGCCTCAACTTATCAAAGAACTCTAGAAAAACTTCAGCAATACTACAATTGTACAACTTACTCATGGTCTGATGGATTTCTCGTTCTTCTACAGGGCTGTGTGAAACATATTGCTCAGAGGGGGCTTTTCATTTTCTTGTTCCCCAAAATCAAACAAAAAAGAGTACTGGTATCTTTATTGAAAAGTAATTGGCACTCCTCTCACCTTGGAGTACTTGGCTTTTAAAGGAAGTCCTTGCTCTGAAATTTTCAACCATTCATCCTGTCTAGGAGTCACATTCTTTAACAGTGTCTCAGCACTTAGATCAAGTTCCTGAAAACTGAGAAATAATGATACAAATTGTAACTACAGGAGTTAACAATAAAATAAAACAGCTAAAAGTGTCTTTATTGGATTCCATCATAAACTGACACCAATTAAGTCTAACTTCATTATTTTTGTCTTCCAAGATATAATAAAAAAACAACCTGGCTTCTGTTGGTGCCATTAAGAAGTAGTAGACAGCACAATTAATTAAAACATCATTGTCAAAAAAAAGGTCAGAAGAGCAACTCACCCCAGGCAGAAAACATCTGGTGGATCTTTATCAACTGCTAGCCATGGTGTAACATTCTCTGCAGGATACTGACCATTAACATTCCATGACCCAACAAAGATTCTAAAGATGCAAATCACAATGAGAAGAGTCAAACAATGTACACATTTTGGCTTAAGGGCAATCACTTCAGTCCGAACTGTGTCAGCTGGTTGTACATTCAATTTGAATCCAGTTGCAAAATTCAATTTAAAAATAACGTATCACCATAAAGTAAGCATACCTATGGTGCTGAGAGCATTTGTTTGACCTTTTCAGAAAGGCTTCATCCACCACAATCCATAAAATACCTTTGTTTTGTTCCTATTTTGTTCCCCTGTCTGAACTTATCAAAAACCTCACTACCGAAAACAGGGCTTTTTGAGGTGCTCTTCAAACTGCCTACAATTGAAAACACAACTGTATTGCCAGAGTTGAATCTACAACCAAATGAATTGGAATACCAGCAAATTGGAAATTAGACCCTCTTTATGTGCATACCTAAAAATACAGCCAATTAATTCTGTTGTCAGAAATTTTTGGGCTTTCAAGCATAAATGGAAAGCATTGCAGTTTGGGTAATTTATGTTTGGAGAGTAGATTTGTAATTTTTGCCAAGTTAAAATATAATTTTCAAATTTCCCGTCCAAAAAGTCGACGAAGCATAACTTGCTATCATCATAATATATCAACATAGCTTGAGTTTTTTTATTTATTTCTTTTTTCAACACGAACCAAAAGTAACATGTCAGCTTACTTTAGTGTTTTTTCACTAGTGTACTCAGCCTCCCTGGCAGCCATGTGGAGTTTAATAAACCCATCCCTGGTACCAAAACTAGTTGGAAGTATGGATCTCCTGGTTAAAGCTGGTGAGTCAACGACGACTTTGTCCACTTCCTCTGATGCAGTTAAACTTGCTGATGAAAACGATGGGTGAATGGTTGGGGACAATGAAAAACCTGGCATTCCAAAGTCATCCAGTGACTCTTCATCAACTTTGGATTCAGTGGCTAGAATGACAATAATTGTTACTGTCATATTATCTGCTTATTTTCCCATTTCTATTTGTCTGATAATTTTTTCTTTTAAGTTCAAGTCCAAAAGCAGAAATCACACTTTCAGAAAATGCAGCAGAGCACTGCAAATGCAAGGCCCAACAGCTTTTCTGACCAGGTCACATCAATCTGTCCACCCCTACATGTGCCAGGTTCCATTATGGTTTTCTGCAGAATTATGTTAGCAGGGCCATACAGGTCACATGATAATTATTATATTTATCAATCATGATAATTATGATACAAATACTGTTACCTTCATGTTTCCAAATACAGTCTATTAGCTCTTTAGGCTTAGCTCTAATTTTGATAATAATACAACAGACTTTATATACAGTTAACAAATGATATTCTTCTGCCCATTAAATTTGAAAATTTCAAATTTAATCTATTCACACTTACAAAAGAAATTTGAAACAGTTAACATAATTTTCATTTGGTACCTGTAACAACTTCTAGTCCATTAGAACTTGCTTCTTCAATATGACTCCAAGGCCAACCATCTGTTTTTCAAATAAATCAACATAAAAGATGAAACCTTCCTTATCCTGAATAAACACAATGCAGTAAATAAGGAGGGGAACCTTTTCACAGACAAACATAGTGAACACAAGAAAAACTTGTATTTAATCTTGAATAAATAAATTCTGTTTGTTGTAATCTCTAACAAATTTACTGGTGGCATGATATAAAGCCATATTAAGCAACTAAGCAACTGCTTGATGCAACATTATAATTATTCTCACTGTATTCACAAGTACAAAAAAAAAAACAAAAAGAACATTTAAAAGGAGAATTTAGGAATTTTTCACAAGTCTCCTATCACATTTTTCCATACACCCTCTCATTGAATACCTGTGTTTGAAAAACTTTTCCTTCCAATCAGCTCCTGATATCTCTTCAGCCAATCAAATTCAGGCATACCAACCAGATGAGCCCTCTGTCTATATGCTGAGTGAGCAAAGCAAAAATTACAAAATTAATGTTTAACTTAGTATTAAATTTGACCATACCCACATAAAAAAAGCAATAAAAGTGATCGCCTTCTACACTACAGGAGGTAAATTTAAAAATGCACAGCAGCAGAATTCCTGAATGGCTAAATTCGGGACAGAAAGAGAAAACCTAAATTAGTGCAAGTGGGCAAATTTTTAGAAATAAGAACTTGTTTTATTAATGGATGAAATGATAAGTTCACCTCCAATGGCTTTGTTCAATTCATATAAGAAATTATTTCCCCGAGCATCTTTGTTCACTTCGAAAAAAAGCTTTGTCTGGTCATCAGTCAAGATCTGAAACCTGACCATACCTGTGACAACGATATAAAAACACAATTAAAATCTTGCCATCTAACAAGTTTGTCATGTTGATTAAACATTCTTCATAGATTTCTCGGGAGCAAATATTTTTTTTTCCAGTTGTTTCCTAATAAAAATCTCTATGGCTTTCACTCATGAAGACATCATTAACTGAAAATTCACCCTTAGGCCTTGTTCGCACTGAAATTTTGATGACTCTTTATCACTTTCTTTTTGTTTTCATTTAAGCATTCTTTTCATTTCATTGTTTTGGGAATACTTCATTAGAAAATTCATCAGTCACTACCTTGAAAGTGGGGCTGTTATCAAAATTATTTATCAATACTATCTAGTACATCTTTTTAAAAACTAGTTAAATATTTAAAAAAGCAACTCATCTTTCTAACTAAGATACATGCAACTAGCCAAATACCAATATACTATCAGAAAGCTGAGATATGTTGAGCTTGGTGATTGTAAAAAGAAAGTCATCACTTCTTTTATCCCATGAGAGGATAAAAAAAAATCTGAGTCCTCAAGAAGCAATCAAACCTCAGACCTTCAGACTCCATGCTCTACCACTGAGTTATATAGAACAAGGTGATGGTCTAACTCACCATAGAGTTCTCTGAAGCTACAGGTATGTGGTAGAACACTAGCAAACAGAATCCCACAGTCTGGATTTTTATTTTGGTTACACCCTCCGAACTAGATTGTTACCCAAAATATCTCTTTAGCTTAATATCATAATAAATATATTACCCTCTTTACTGCTGCCATTGCTATCTGGTTGATCTAAGCACATACACAAAAAATAAAACATAAAAATCAATGTGTGATGCCTTGGTAGATCAAAGTTGAACTTTGTGTACAAACTGTACACATGTACAACAAAATTCTTCAAAGAAATTTACTCACTAGAATCTGTACACTTAAAAACCCAAAATGTTACCTTATAAATTATATCTGTATTGTTATTAAATGAATTTCTGATAAAAGGATTTCAAACTGACCTGATTTAAATTACATTTGTTTATCAATTGTATTATCTAAACTGAGACAGGAGGGTTTAAAATCAAACTAGTCTACCTTAAACAAATTTGACTTAGAACTCATTTCTAACTGCAGAATGTAATTAAGTGCTTTCAGCATAACATACCAGCAACAGATGTACACGAAAAAGGTCCACAGATAGCAAAAATGTACAGGACAACAAGGAAAGGTTCTTTATAAGATGATTCATCCTTCCACTGGAAGATGATTAATCTGATTGTAAAGGGAAAAAAAGGAAAAGACTTTCAGACTGAGAAGTATATCTAAGTGTAGCTCTACAATGGTATAATAGTCAGATACTAACAATTAACTTTTGTATGGATATATAAACAAAGTTGAAATGATAAATTGGCCACCGCAACGATTACAAAAGCTGACGTTTCGAGCGTTAGCCCTTCGTTGGAGCGAATGACAAAGGGCTAACGCTTGAAACATCAGCTTTTGTAATCGTTATGGTGGCCAATTTACCATTTCAACTTTGTTGATATATTCAAATTATTCCGTTACCCCCACCGATGCAGCCCCAGTTTCTTTAAAAACTATCAGCCTTCATTAACTTTTGTATGGTTACATGTAATCACTTAACATTAATTTTTTTTGTCAGTGGTAATTTATTTTTTCATACACATACATACCCAGTGTCCATATTTCTTGCAATAAGAGCTATAAGGCAGCCAACTTTATTGTTGTCCTTCAGTAGCACTCCAGTGGTGCAGTAAATAATATTAAGGAAGATACATCATCATTAAATTTGATTATTATCAAATAAAACAAATAGTCTTTCTTTCCCTTTTATCAGCTGGCCTCAAGCTTACCAAAGAATTGCCTTCAAAAATAATTTAAAATTCTGTTAAATGTTTTGCTACAAAGAAAAAGGAACAAGAAAAATGGGAGCTTGCTTTTGTAGGCTGTCAGAAACTAATTTTTGAAAATAATTCTAGATAAAAAGCCATGATTTGTCAATTTCTTAAAGATCTTAATTCTTTGTGCCAGACTCTTGCCTTAGCATATAATTCATTTAATTGCCTATGAAAAAATTTGAACTTTGTCCAACTTTTGTCAAACCGTGTTATCTGCAGACCAGGGAAAGGAAGTACAGTACATCATGCACATATAAAGGCCTTTTTCATACTTTTAAATTATTTTTTTGGTCTACATGCACATATTTTCTATTAATTTCAACAACTGAAAAAATTAGCTGAAAAGTGTGTTAAAAGTATTCATCAGTATTTCAAAGAATATCATAAAAATCCACACCTGATTTTAAATACAAAAGGATCTGTGGTAGGATTTGATTGTTTCCTGCCAACAACAATAAAAACATGAGAATGCTTAAGTTCAATGTGACAGCCACAAAATGCATACACAATGCTTAAGTTCAATGTGACAGCCACATAATACATACACAGATGAGCCATTCGCTATAAAAAGATATAAATTACAGCCATAAACATGTTGCCACAACATTCATAATACAGTACAACTTTATGTAAACAGATGTCCAAAGCAATTCTCTTTAGATGTCCTCAACAATTGCAGCACTGTACAATCATTTATCAATAATCTGCCTTGAACCTTGACATAGACATTAATGTGATAAATTCACAGAAAAACCACAGCACATTAAATATAGATATGTAATTTGTTTGGTCACTTTGGAATATGTGAATGATTCAGAGATAAACTGAAGACCACACTACGTTATCACAAATGAATCATGTATGGATATATATTGGTGACGACATTTTTTCTCAAGCAAGAAAAAAATGATTAATAAATAGATGGATTTTAAACATTTTAAATGGAGCAAATTCTTGCCATAATAATTACACCTGAATTTACATGCTCATATAGGTAACATCTGAAGGTTACATGCACGTCTGTCAGCCAATTATAACTAAATTATTCATGACACCTTCCTTGAAGAGTGCATTTACAAATGACAGCTGTTTTCTGTGGTGTTATTTGTCATTAAATGACTCGTTCTTGTCAGGATTTCGCCCCAAAAATGAAAATATCATTAAACTTCACACGGAATGGAATCGTCTAAGCTTGTGATTCCCAACAAAGCCACAACATCAAATATACGCTTCACAACTGGGCATAGTGAGGATCTCAGATACAATGTTCATTTTCCACCGCAAGTCTCGACACAACAAAAATTCCCCACAAATTTTCTATACGAGAAAAAAAACAACACAAAAGTTTCCTTAGCTTCACTCTGAGTTAAACTAGTTCTTAAGGAGTTTATCACCTGATAACCTGTATGGGAATGAACGTACCAGTTCACAGTAGTCATCAAGTCTCAGCGCTAGCAACACAAAAATAATTAAGTAAAATAAATACATAAAAAGGATATTTGTATACACCGCTCATCGCTGGAAAGTTCACTTTGCACTCTTGCTCTGAGATCCATGTTTATTTCGGTATTTTGCGGCTGGATCAGCTTGCTTCAGTTACTTGCTTGTTCACCGCTAATTTTCCTTGTCATCCGCCATGTTTGTTTTGTAAGTTGGCCCTCAGGAGACTTGGCTCTAAAATGGATTGGGCTTTTCTAAGGACGGTGGGAAATCTTAAATGCCGTGAATCATGGGAAAAAAAAAAAGGGACCTCGTAACGTATAAGGGCCAGATCTGCAGAGCTCTCGCTGGCTCACTTTGCTCAAGGTTCTGACTTACTCACAAGTGAAGAAATGCTCTTGCCGTGGCACATACAGGCATCTCAAGCTCACGTCTCGAGAAAAAGATTAAAGCCAACTATTAATTCATGAAAGCGTCATGCATTGGGTGACGCGTTGTTCACTTATGCAAGGAAGCGTTGAGCGGTACGAAGTTTATCAACTCAGGAGAAAGGACCTTGAAGAAGTTAGTTCACCTCGCCGACTATCATATGATTACAAGTCACAACTTCCAATTAAAAATGACTGCATGCTCCTTGAATAAAACGCAAGCTGGCCAAGTTAAAACAAATGGTTTGATAAGAACACTTTCTAAATAGACGATAAAATATATTTTGGATTAACATGGCTATTTTAGGAATCTAATATGGCAGGCTTTTCTTTTCTACCTTCATAGGGGAAACGACCTGATTCAAAACTGAGCAAAGGAGGAAGCGACTAGTATGGCAAATCTGACTCATAGCACTTGGTGCGAAAATGACCTGTGGGCGAAACGACCTGGGGTGAATATGACCCGAGGGCATAACGAACTGGGGTGAAAATGACCCATGGAGGACACGGCCTGGGGGNTGGAGTTTCTGCAAATTGAAGAGGAAAACTTTACCAACAATGTTTCATCACATGGCAAACTTCATTTTGATTTTTCCAAAACTAGAGAAGAGTAATGTCAGTAGGATTTATGTCAATAGTTGAAAATAAATATTTAATTCTTTAATTTTGATTGATTGAATTATTCTGGATTAACATAGGAGAGCTGTGTGGCAGCAGACCACAGAAGGAACCTGATTCAAAATATGCACCAAAGGCAAATGTTAAATTCCATCCAGTCACAGCTGAGCACAACAGCATATAGGTGATGCATACTCAGTTGACCTCATCCCCAAGAA